GTAACTTTGTATAGAAGGTCTTAAACTTTGACAAAGCTAAATTGTCGCAACTATGAATCCAGACAGTCTTAAAATTGAATATTCTTCGCTATGCTTCGATCAAAAACGCAAAACGCTTATACAAAATGAATAAGTAGTTCAGAACAGTGTCGGCGGGTGTGCCCGGCGCCGGTCGTGTTCGGCGTGGCCGGCGCCGGTCGTGCTCGGTGTTGCCGGCGCCGGCAGCCGCTGCCTGGCCCGGCGCCGGGGGCCGCGACCGAAGAAAAGAAATTGTGGAGCGGTGTCAGAGTGCAGGGGTTAAGGCGTCTAAAAGACCGTAACCATTCAACCCAAACCCCAAACAACGGAACCGTCAACCCTTCATTCAATCCTTGCACTCTATCTAGACCCTAAACTGCCTGCCCAGGTCGCATTCCCGACTTCGCGAGTCCAGGAGCCATGTGCAAGCGTTGCGTTGACGCATGCTTGCCCGCGAGTGCAGTACATGTTGCGATACCACGTTGCACACCAGGAAGAAGGGTGAAGCCGTGCATCTGCATTGCAGCCACTTTAGGTTTGGCTTTAATGTTAGGTAGCTTCATTGGTAGACAGCAAGCACCGACACCACGTCCAGCAAGAATGAATAAGGCTAGGGCCCGATTTAGATTTATACATCGGCAATGCCCGCGGTGAAAAGCGAACATGGTCCGAGCGCTGTGATTGTTAAGGTCGAGCAGAGGGACCTGGTCCAGGTGAGCCCGGACAGAAAGAAATCGCGCGCCAAGGATGGATGTCGGCCGCCACCGGCCCGACGATCTAGGGACCTGGTCCAGGTGAGCCCGGACAGAAAGAAATCGCGCGCCAAGGATGGATGTCGGCCGCCACCGGCCCGACGATCTCAGTTTACGACGCCCACAACACCGCCTTCGGGTCCAGAGCGGCGAAAGGAGTTGAGCAAGGAATACGAGGCCCGACGCCGACGCAAGAGACAGCGGACAGAGGCAGCTGCTGCGACCGAGCTTCCGCCTAAGACGGTGACAGATGAGCTCCAGAGGAAGTTCAAGACGTCGGAGGAGGTTCTCGTTGATCTCACGGCCCGAGTTTCACAAGAATTGTCCAAACTTCATTCCCAGGGCCGAGTCGTTCTGGACTTTGAAGAACGAGAAGACTTTTTGAAGATCTTGCAACATCGTCTCGGGCTTCTTTGCTTTGAAGAGGCCTCATGAGGGTCCGAGTCGATGTCTAGATGGTCTATCTGAGCAGGGAACAGGCACGATGCGCAATATCAGTTTTCTGGCATTGCAGAGATGCTCTACGACGACATTTTGGCTTCTTTTGAGTTTGTTGCGCGTGGTCGTGCCAGAAACTTTTGTTCAGCAACACATTCGCAATTCTGAATGTGCCAATGGGGGATGTGCACGCACGAAGGCGTGAGTAAAACATGCATCTCACTTGAGACATGTCCTCACCTTAAAGAACTTCTTTCTGTCCTCAGCCGTCCGTTGTCCCAACTGACAGGAGCGCCTCACGGCCGCCGCGGGCCAGCCTTGCCTGTTTGGGCGTGCTGCTGCCAGTCTGGAGGCATTTGTGGGTTCGGGGATTACCTTTCCAGGCAATCTCTGCCCTGGGGCACGGGCACGGGTGGTTGCAGAATGTACGTTTTGCTTCAGTGTGTTGTTTGACTTTGTAGTTTCGGCGTAGTGTGCCAGAGAGCTGCTTTTGCCGAAGTTTCCGAAGGCCCGAACGATGAGTTTCAGTTAGGTGAGGCTCAGGGAAGCATTTCCCAAGCAAAGCATCACAATAAACATGACTCCACGAGAGGAGTATTTAATAACAGTTGTTTGCAGTCGAACTTTATTCAAGTCACAGCTGAACGCACGATGCCCAGACGCCCTAGAGTGGATGTCTTGCCTTCTCCTACCGACGCGCTGCTTCTGAAGAGCCGGACCCGGCCGGGTGGCAGGCCAGGACCGACCAGTTCCAGTTCGAGCGCGGCTAGCGTGCGTGGGAAAGGCGAAGTGTCAGGTACGAAGTCCCGGGGTGTTGGGCAACATGCTTCAGCTCGAAGAAATCAAGCATCTGACGAGTGTGCCAATGTCCTGAAAGTGCCCGCGACAGCTCGAGAGAAGTTTCGGGCCCGAAAGCAGACGTGGTGCACATCGGCTGGAAGCCACAGGCTGCCAACAGGCACAAAGATAGTGTGGCTGGCCGAGAAAGAATCGTCAGACTTCGAGTGGGGTATGGGATGCATCCTTTGCAGCCAATTGCAAGCTCGCCTGGCGATGAGAAGCAACCATCAGGGTGCTAGCGGGACCGAGCGCAGAGCCTATTCCTCGAAATGGGCCCGATTTGAGATTAGAGGCATTGCGTCCGTGCAAACCAGTGCCATTCGACTTCACGCGAAGTCCGACATGCATTTGGCTGCTTGGCGATTGTTTCAATTGCCGCCTGGTGTGGGCATAGTCCCAACAGCAGCTGCCAAGGACCAGGACATCGAGCTGTTGCGCGGCAGCGTTCCTCAGCCGGAGGACTGGCTGCAATGTTGGAGGCACAATGAGCTTGCCCTTTCTTGCCGAGCTTCCTCACGTATATCCTTGACAAACGAGTTTATTCATTCGGACCGACTCGCGTTGAAGGAGGTTGAACGACGAGCGGTCGCCTCCATGAGAGTTGTTTTGCAAGAGGTTATTCGTGAAAAGAAGAGGAACGAGCTACGTAGGGCCGAAGCCATCACCATTTCAGTTGACGACAAGTCGCCCTACCGGCTGATCCGCTTCAAAAGTGTTGCTGAAAATGGCGAGATCACGCGAGGCATGTTCGGGCTCATCCCGCCACTGGCGCATCTTGTGTCCAAGCCCGAAGATTGGGACCGAGACAAGAGTGAAGCTGCAGCGGGCACGATCATCTCTGCCATTAGAGCATTTTGCACACCGCTGAACAAGGAGCTGGATAGCCAGCTGTTCGACCGCATCTCGAAAACTTGTCCTTGTTCAGCACTGAGGCTTTCGTTGTGTTGCTTAATCCTGGACTCCTGACAAAGTACTACGAGCAAGGGCTTTCATAGATATTCATTCATCATGCTCATCTCGCGACAAGGAAGAAGACCACGGCGTTCTGTGCGGATGGCGCCCCGTACGCTCAGAAGACGGGGCGAGTCCTGAGGGAGCTTCATCTACCACGCGTGGCGCTGATCTGCCGAGACGCAGCGCACATGGTGCGACTGTCTTCCCGCGACCCTCTCATGGCCGATACCACGTACAAGGCAGCTTGGGAACTTCTGTGTGGGTCCGAGGGCGTCTTTCCTGCATGTTAACACACAAAAAA